GTGCTACAGGAAGGAAAAGACAGATGAAAAACAAAGAATGGAAATTAAAACAACTGTAATTGATTTGGAGCCTATACACTCAAAACCTGCTTACCTATCTTTCCCGACATGTAGGATACATGTTTTCTTTATGGATTACAGGAATGTGCATATAAAGAAAAGAATGAAAGTAGTACACCCCCAAAACCTATCCATAGTCCAGCAATTTTATAGGCCAGCAATTTACTGCAGTTGCTTGTGTTCCAGGTTGCATTGAACTTCACCACTCACAAGAGCTGCAGGTGTTCTGTGTGCCTATTAGGACATTCAGGAGGCTCCAAATGAGAGCATTTAAATGCAACTTCCATGGTTACAGAAACATGTTAGCCTACTATTGCGTGGACAGGCGGAGTCCCCAGATCCCGAGCGGTCCCCCCCCCCCGTCATGTGGAATAATGACTCAAGACAACGTGCTATGGGATTAAATTGGCCACAACTTTATTAAATTTCAAATGTGGGTAGACCTTGGCTCAGGCATTGGGCGTTCTCCCTCCCCAGTCCCCAGCCGGGGACCTAGGGAGCTTCACGGTTATCCAGTGTGTGTGGGGGGGATGGGCCGGCTCTGGAGAACATATGTTCAAGCAGAGATAGCCGCCCCTGTTACACCGCCGCCGCAGGGGAGAGCAGTGACGACCTTTTGGCGTAGGTCAAAGCCTCCCTTCAGAAACCCCTTTAACGGGGAACCCTGGTATCGCCGCCGCAAAGAGGAAGATGGACTAAAGGATTCCGCCCAAGGCCTGATACCGCCAAAGTTGTGACGTTTTGCTACGGGAAAGGCGAAACCTGCCAATGCAGGGAAATTCCTTTCCGGCCCTTTAACAGCGACCTTATCGTAGCAGCGCCCGCATACCTGTGAAGAAAAGTTAGCCTGCAAAACCTATGAAGAAAAGTTAACCTGCAAAGGAAGACATGAACTGAGGGTGAGTAGGGTGGGAGAAGCTCTGGAGCCAAGTGAGGATTCCCAGGTAAGATCCTCCCTCTATTGTGTGGGCAGGTAATCCCTCCCCTACCTGGCCTGGTCTCTTTGGCAACGCTTCCCCCAGGTGGGATTGGACAACTGACTGAGGTAGGCGGGGACCTCCAGGTATCCCACCTGAGGGAAGGCAAAGCCAAGCCTATGCTGATGGGGCCGCTCCAGATCCAGGGCTGCGCGCGTCTACGCAAAGGGCGCCCCCCGTTTTAAGCGGGGAGCGGTCATTGTGGGCGTTGTCGCCACCACCACCAAACCTCAACAATCAAGGAGCATGACTGGCATGCTTGGGATTCCAGAGGAATAGCCGGTTGGCTGCTGCCTGAGATAGTTGCTCCATTTTTCCATACTAAGGCCAGTCATCTCAGGGAGGGATTAAGATCCGTGCTTCAACACAGAATTAAGAATGCTAAAGTCTATCACTTTTACTTCTATGTCTTTATTTCCTGAGACTTCTGCTACTCCTTAGTTAGGGTTGCCATATGACCAACTACTTCGGACAAAAAACCCCACAAAAACCTAAACAGCATTTGTGCTTGGATTTTGACTTTTTGAAATATGGCCACCCTACCTTAGTCATTGAATACCACTAAGCAAATCCAATTATAAAATGTACAGTATGATTCATGCATGTTTAATTGGACATTAAATCCAATGGAAGTTCTTGCTTTTAGCTAATTGTACGCATGATCATCAGTTTATCCACATGGGTCTTACTAAGCCTCTCTTAAGCAAACAAGCTCTCTCACCCGCTAGCCTTAAGGAATCCAGTCCTCAGATAGGAAGCAGAGGTATGGTTTGGATTATCTCTTCCAGAGTTGGAAAACTACTTATTGAGCAACTGATTATTTTCAGTTCAAGTGTGTTACTAATAAAGTTTTTTTTTAATAACTGAAGTATTTATAATTGTCATTAATTACAGTGGGAAATATTCAAGCATGAGATTTCAGAATTCATGTAGACCATCAGCATCTGTTTCACCATTTTGGCTGATGGGCTTTAGTGAAACCACCAGCGTTACAAGGCAAAATAGAGAGTATTGGCCAAATTACCTTCATAATGGTTCCAAATACATTCCAATGGTTCCAATACATTCCAAACTACTCAACAGGTATCCTCACCAGAAGTGAAAGGTCAGGAATGTAGCAGAACAGCACTATTGTTAATGTGATAGCCCAATTAAACACTTCTTTTAAAATAATAATGAAGAAGAGAGGCTAAAAGAATTCTCAGCAGATCATCAAGGAGGGAATTAATTGAATGTGATCTGTTTACTTACACCTCTTTTTTAATTAAAAAAACCTGTAGAAGTGGGAAAAACACAATCAACAGCCTCAATAAATGTGTGACCCGCTTTTGAAATATTGATAGCAGCTGACACAGATCAGAGAGCCAGGTTTTCTTCATCTTTCAAAGTGCAAAGTAGCATTTGTTTCTTAGTCCAATTTCAGCTCAGCAGACATTGCTGAATCAAGAAACCTTATCCTAGAATTTAAGATCCAGAACATTCAGTGCTGTAAGCATGGGTTAAAACTCATAAAAACACAGGGAGTTGCCATATATGGAGTCAGACTACTGCCACATCTAGCTTAGTATTCCATCTACTGGGCAATGGCTCTCCAGGGTTTCAAACGGGGGCAATTACCAGTCTTAGCTGAGATGCCAGATCTGGGACATTTTGCACGCAAGGCAGATGCTCTACCATTCAGCTATGGTTCTTCTAGTAATCCGGACAAGGAAATAACAACACAGGTGGTCTCCTCTTCCCTCTTCCTCCTCTTTTGTCATGCTAGCTCAGAACATGTCTCTAAACACATCTGCAAATTCTCTGTCTTCTTCTTTAGCAATCACTCACAGCGTGCCTTAGTATGTTTCTCCCTTTTGTCCTGAGTTTGAGCATCTTCAAAGCCCATGACACCTTTGGTAAAGGCTGTTCTCCAATTGGAGCGCCCGCAGGCCAGTGTTTCCCAGTTGTCAGTGTTTATACTACATTTTTAAAGATTTGCCTTGAGAGAATCCTTAAAACTCTTTTTTTGACCACCAGCATTATGCTTCCCATTTTTAAGTTCGGAATAGAGTAGTTGTTTTGGAAGGTGACTAGGCTCCTCCTCCTCCTCCTCCTCTTTTGTCATGCCAGCTCAGAACATGGCTCTAAACCAGGGATCAGCAAACTTTTTCAGCAGGGGGCCGGTCCACTGTCCCTCAGACCCTGTGGTGGGCCAGACTATATTTTGAAAAGAAAAAAAAGAACAAATTCCTATGCCCCACAAATAACCCAGAGATGCATTTTAAATAAAAGGACACATTCTACTCATGTAAAAACACACTGATTCAGGAAAACATTTTTCCTAATATACACTTGTATTGTGCAATATGTATATATGCATTTTGCAAATAATTCCCCCCTAATATACTTTTTTGTTATTTTCACTAATATATGCCATTTCGTGCACACTTCAGCCTAGTATATGCATTTTTGTATGCATAACTTGGCTGGAGATCTGTACAGCAAAATTCGGGAAAGTGTGAATCTCGAAGACTGGCTGGGTTTTGGTTCACACTTGGTTTTGGAAATAGCAAATCAGGTAGGGTTGCCTTTAAATGTGAAATGAATCAAATTTCTTCCCCATTCCTATGAAGGTGCTGCCATGATACTGTTCTTAAGTTAGAATAGTCTCTCTTCACTTCTACCTATGTTTCAATTTTCAGGAAAAAGTGTTCTCGGAAATGGTCAAACATAACAAATTAACCATGGGGAAATTTGAGGTTTTCTGTGATATTTTCTCAGAAATGATTTATATAAATTCACCCTTCATCTGAGGAGAGATTTATTCACTCACTCACTCAATGTTTTAAGTTACTTTTTCAATGTATGTGCTTGGACAAAAGCACACAAGGCAAATAGTCTAAAATAAATCCAACACAAATGTAAAAAAAACCAAAGCTGGAATGAAAGAGGAGCCAACCTACTTTCAATATGTATCAAAGAACAGCAAGTGGTTGTGAGAATGTGATGGATCAATGTGATGGAGGGAATTCTGAAGGGTGGCTTTTACAACTGACATTTCCAAAATGCGTATCTGCAATTTTGCCCATTGCAATCTTATAGAGATGTCAAGAAATTCTGTTTTGTTTTATATATATTAAGTCTAATTGTGTACAAGGTTTCATCTTTTATGGACGTGTACACACACACACACACACAAAGAGAGAGAGAGAGAGAGATGATGAAATCTTGTACACAAGTAGACTTAAACGGTATTCATGTTTTCCACAATAGTGCTTAAATCAACAGGATTTAAGCAGCCTAATTGTGTGCTGATTGCAGCGATAGAAAACACATATTCCAAACTTAATGTGTCCCATTCTAACAAGGTTTATTCCAGACCTGTTCCCAGACTCAGCTCCATGTACCATGTAGACCTGCCAGTTTGGAAAGACGTGCATTATTTCCTTTTGTTATGGGAACATAATGAGTTGGTATTGTTTTGAAGAAGATCAGATTAAAATCCCCCACGGGAGTTTTGGTCATCCCTAAAATTAAGCACAAACACAGCACTACATATTTTGCTGCTCATTAGACCAGCAGGAATCCTTTCTAAGCACAGATATCAAAAGATAGCATTATCTAAAATCCTAATTGCCATCGCAGCATGAGCACACTGTTAAAATAATCATTGATCATGGTTAGAAAGGTTTTCAGCTATGTTATAGTAAAATTACTTGCCCTCAATATTCATCTACAATTGTATCAACTTCCATGCTATTGTTTAAAGAAGCTGGTCATAATCCAGTTCACAGTTGTACATTTTTAAATCCCATTCAAGACACTGGGGTGTTAGCATTCCTTTACTCTGCGGTGCTTTATGTATTATGTGTTTTGAATTCAGAGTCCTACAACACCTGATAACTTGCAGCTGAATTGAGACAAAACAAGATTCACAGTCGCAAGGTTCTAAGTTTGCTCACCTGAATGCTGCTAAGTGTGATGTGCTGGGCATAGCTCAGTCAGTAGAGCATGAGACTCTTAATCACAGGATCATGGGTTTGAGCCCCGTATTGGGCAAAAGATTCCTGCATTGCAGAGGGTTGGACTTGATTACCCTTGCGCTGCCTTCCAACTCTACAATTATATGTTTCTATGATTCTATGAATATGCCATTCATTGGGATGTTCTGGGCAAGGTGCTCCCAACTTTAAGCCCAGTCTTGTTTGCTGCAAGCACCAGAATAGAGCTACAGATGTGCTTCTGAACTACCAATCCTTGCATGTGTCCATAGACTACCACCCCTGATATAGGTTAGCTCATTGTAGGGGTACATCTGCAGGGAGATTTGCAGAACCCTCTGCTGCCACAGGGAGGCCCAGCAAGGCTGTCCACCACCAGAGATATATCAAGATATTGTGATATTTAGCTGGCGATATATTGTGATATTGAAAACCAGGTATCGCCCAGCCCTAGTGGCAAGGAGACCAGCTGTAGCCAATCCAGGAGGGTGGAGTAGCACCAGAAGTAACTGTTGTATCCTTAAAATGTTGCCAGATGTTCAGATGGGTACTGATGACACAGAAGATGGAGAGACAGGATAGCTGGAGATACTAGGGTGAGGTTGGCCCAAGAGGCAAGAAAGAGAGATCTGGAAAAGGAAAGCCAGACAGATATGTGTGGGAAAGCACTGGCTGGGCTGAGTATGGAGGAAGAAAAGGAGAAATCTGCCCTGGTGCCTCATGGGCTGTCTTATGGTAATGCCAAACAAGGAAAACCAGATGAACCATCTTGAGGGAACCATCATCCCTTTCCTTTCCAAAGACCATGTGTCTCTCCCCAGCCTAAACTGTCTGGGCAAGGATTCCCATTGCAGTCTCTACCACCTCTTTGTCCCAGCTGACCCCAGGCTCCTGGGAAGCAAGTGCCTGACTGGAAGACTCTTGATGTTACTAGCAGTACTGCAAGCTGCAGCCCTGGGCTGGATGTTAGAGAGAGATCCCTAAGCACAAGGGAGAAGTCTCTGATCAAGTGGTACATTGCATCCTTTGAAGAATTCCACAGAAGGGAGCAAGCACTTTGCATCAATATCTTGTTAAGAGAACAACAAGATGCTTATTGTCTTGAGAGACTCTTCTGACGAACTTGGCACTATTGCTGGAGACTGAGTTAGTGGCTGCTGTTTCATAAGCCTGTGGTTTTAATTGTCATGCGTTTATAGGCTTCTCCAAATGATCCGTTTACTGAGGATTTTTATTTTGGGGGAAGCTTACACAACAATGGACTTCCATCCTGATTTGCATATGCATCAATAATTGGTTCCTCCCACACTTTTGACTGCATTTTCCCTTCACATTCCTAGTTGAAAAAGACTGTATTTCTTAAGTGGATTTGATGTGCTGTGGTGACAGAGTGCTTCAATCTATGCAAATCTAAATTACCAGTATGCTCTAGAATCCCTCCCACAGAATGGGGACAACCAGAAGGTGACCTGACATTTTCTGTATGGATGGATGAGAGGGAATTGGATATGCCCTCCCTTTGGACACATGGGTACTCATACGGAAACTGGTAATTCAACAGAGATCCTGAAAGGTAGTCCCACCCCCATGTTTAACAAGACGGAAACCATGAAAGTAAAGGATACACAACTGTAAGAGCTGAATCCCATGGAAACCTTCAAAAGCCACGTGCAATTCTGACTTGAAGGAACCATCGCTTCCCAGCTCTCAATACAGAACACAATATGTGCCTGTCGAGATTTAAGCAACTTTCTTAAATTGCTTCTGCGACTCTCCTCTTGTCATTTAACACCATCTGGGACAAAGGCGTAACAATACAGCTGCTTTTCAAGGACAAAAAAGGTGTCACATTTATAATGCTTGAAAGCAAAGTGTGATGTATAGGTAATGAAGCAAAGAGATTCTCTCCCCCGCTCTCTAGATGTTTTGAAATGGAGAAGGAGTTCTTGCCATGTAATCCTTTTATTGTCAGAAGGATTCCACCCTCCAGGTATAAACAATTTTCAAACCCATTCTCCAAATTAGATTTCCAGACTGTAAATAAACGTGATGAATTTCAGACAAGTCAATTGTGTTTTCTGCACACACGTATCTGTTTTACAAAAATATGTCATATGACCAGTATATTTCATACCAGCCTGTCTACTCAAGTTAATGAAAAAGAAAGAAAGTATGTTTGGAAAGAATGCAAAATGCAGATCTAACTACAGTCTTCAATGAAAACTCCTCAAATGCTCAAACCACTCATCTTATGTAGGCCTTAAGTTAACTTAGGCTGCATTCACATGTCAATTTTTTCCATTTCCCCAAGTTGTTAATTTGAGCTTTCACACAACATAAAAGCCACTCCTGGAGTTATAGTGGAATATAGCACAATTTTACCTCTCATTTCTGTGTTATTTGCTTCCAGGATTTAAAAAAAGCACACACAAATAAGCACTGAATTTGCCCTATATTCTGTTATGTTTCCAGAAGTGGCCTTTACATCATGTGACAATTCACAGATAATGCAGAAACTAACAGGGAAATGTCAGGGAAATGGAATAAGCTGCTGTGTGAAGGCAGCCATAAGGCTCACCCACACTTCCTTGCTTTCCAGGCATGGGACAAGTGGGTCAGAATGGTTTTCCACTTGACCCATGCCTTCTAGGCATAGGGACCGAGATTTTTTCCACTTGCCCTGCTCCTTCCCCAGGGAAAACCCACTCTTTAGCTCTATATCAGAACAAATGGCAAGCCACAGAAAAGCCGATGCTCTTTGCTCTGCTTGAGCACTAAAGAGTGGTTTTCCTGGGTGGGGTGGGGAGAGCAATGGGACAAGCAGTGGATAGGCCTATAGTAACAGACTTCACAATCAAAACCATACCTGCCATCATTTTGGAAGAAAAATTTGGGGCACCCCCATCTCTGTCACTTGCCCCCTCCCTGCCATTGATTCCTCCTTCTTACCTTTGCTGCCTTTGGCCTCCTGCTCCCAAGACGCTGCATTGGGAGACACTGCGTGGCCTAGAGCGGCCTCCAGGAAAATTGGGGCATTCCGGATTGGGATCAGAAGCTGGGGCAGCTTCTGTAAATTCAGGGTGCCCCGATTAAATCTTGGGGGGGGGAGTGTTTACAAAACATGTTAACTAGCTATAACTTATTGGGCTTGTTCAAAGAAAAAGAGATAACACAAAAAATAAAATTGATAAGGGGAGTTAGGAGTAAAAGGCAGTTTACTTGTGTTTGTGTGGTATGCTGCAGGAGCTATCTACATCATGTCTTCCAGACATTTCAGGCTATAATTCCCACCACCCAGTATTGCAAATAGTTAGGGCACCTGGGGGGGGCAAGCACAGCCCAGTACAACAATGGTCGAGCCCAAGGCAGCAGCGGCGACTGACTGAAGCTGTAGTATAATACCTGGTATGTATCAAGTTGGGAACAGGGCAAAGACCCACCTGCCGCTCCCCCCCCCCCAGGTTGCCCAAAGTTGTTGACCTTTTTTTAGGGTTGGCTGTCTCAGCAGCAACAGAGGAGAGGAGCCTGAGGCAGAGGAGGCAGTAGAGCAAGGCTGGGGGGGGGGCAAGCAGAGCCCAGTGCAACAACAATCGAGCCCAAGGCGGTGGTAGTGGCGACTGAGCGAAGCCGGGCACCTCGTGTGAGAAGCGTGCTCTGGGTGGGCCTCTTGACAGCCCGCCAATCGCAGGCGCGCAGGAGGGTGGAGCCAGCCGGCTGCCTCAGCACCTCGCTTGCCTGCAGCAGAAGAGCTGTGGCGCTCCGACAGGCTCTGCTCTGCTCTGTAGCTGCTGTCGGCTCTTCCCAATCCCCGGACTCCAAATCTCAGCCCCAGACTCTTGGCCTGGTGCCCCTGAGAGCCCAGCTCCTGGGTGACCCACACCCCTAGCGCCTATGGGTAAGACAGCCCTGGTTGGGAAAGCCCAATCTATATGGGCAAATGTGTGAGGGTTAAATTTTGTAACCCTGAATTACAGGGAATTTGGTTGTGCAACTAATTGCTCACTTCCACTTCACTGCTTGCCAAGCCGAGATTTCTCCGTGCATCGACAATATGAAGAAACCCTTCTGGGAGTTGGTCAGTGCATTTCATCCAAGGCCGTTCATCATTTAAGCTCCATCCATATATATATTTCAATTCGTCTTTTGTTGCTACCTGCATAAAGAGGCAGAGGGGCTGATTTTTAGAAATATGGCTGATTTCTTTTTGCACTTCAGAAATGTATCTTAGCTTGCCAGGACTGTCCTTTAACAAGACATTAACGATCCTTGTATGCTGATGGTGCTATATAAATAATAAATTGCACTGTGCATGAGTGACCTTGTCAAAAGAAAGGAAAAGAAAAGAAAGCAAACAAACCACTGGCAGATTCTTACCTAGAGAACTGAACAGGCAATGAAAACCCAGCCGCTTTGGAATAAGTGGAAAAAATGGTTTCTGTGCTACAGCCAAAGCTCTCAAGTAAAACGCAGGCCCTATGTCTTTCATATCTCAATCTATTTCCATTGCTTTGTATTCAGGTGTCATTTTTCAAAGCACATTCCTCTCTGCACCAAGGCATGGCCAAAAAAGATATTGCTCTTTGGGGAGGAAATATGGTTTTTCTATGGGAGCTTTATTAGAGTCACAGGCCTTAAAAGACTACTGAGTAACTGAGTACCTTGCTCCCAAGGCTTGCATCATTAAGTGCCCTGTTTACTTGCATTATTAGGCTTAGTTTTCCGAGTTCAGCAGACAAACTGCTTATTGTGGAATGGTCCCCTGGACATCATCACCAGTATTTGAGTGAGACTATTCTAGGATGTGGCATTTACAGCACAGCCGGTCACAATTTAAACTTCAATTTTGGATCTATTTTAAGCGCATCTCTTTGTGAGATACTGTGTAGGTATGAGAGGGATGGCACTGCAAAACTGGTCACTGTCTCCCAGATTTTATGTTTCAACTGATTTTATTTTTAATGAGCATTTTATTGCAAATTTAAGGCAGCTCCCCCAACCTGCTGCCTTCCATATGTTTTGACTAAAACTCCCATCATCCTGAAACACTGGTCACAATGGC